TCATTGAAATGAAAAATAAATTAATTCATTAATAAAAAAAAATCAGCCATTCAGGCACCTGTGGCAAATATGAGGATTCTTTAGGATGGAATCGAATTGCTGGCAGCTGCCTATCTGGTTCTAGCTGATGTCTATCCTGGGTGGTGCAAACAGTTGGTTAAAGCACTCAGCCTCCGCTTGAGAGGTGGATGATGTGGGTCCATCCAGAGGCACCTTGGAAGAGAGAGGTCTGACAATCAGCTCCTGAAAAATTCATCCATTCAACCCTTAGCGGCAAATGGTCAACTTGATGTGGGAGGTTTCCATAAGATTTCAAGCAGCGCAATGGCACAATCTCAATTTCTTTTTTCCAGACACCCTCTAGCTCTTGTATGGAAAATGGGGCAAGGTTGGGATCAATAGTGGCAGCAGGTCAAGATATAACAGTTGATCTGTCTTCAGCTGGAACAGGAGAGGAAGAAGACAGAATGTGTGGCTAGTTGTTCCCTTTGACCTGAAACCAGGACTAGGGGTTGCCCGCCATTATAAAGCATTTAGATGAAAGGTGCGAAAAGGAGAGAGAAATACAGAACAGAATTTCAAATTCCCAATGGAATCCAGAGTTTAGGGTCTTCCTCTCTTGCTCAGTCTTTCCACCCTTCCAAACATGATGTCCCTCTCCAAGGACTGACTGGTCCCTTCCTTGTCGTAACTAGAGTATGTTGTAAATTGAGGACTAGGATTTCAGACAGGGCTGGTCAATAATCTATGGGGGTTTGTTTTCTTGGTTTTGAGGTTGGTTGGTTGGTTGGTTGGTTGGTTGGTTTTGGTTTGTTTCCCCACCCTTTTCCATCTCCGCCCAGGCCAGCCTCAAGCCCTTCCTTTCCCCAGAACCCGTCTTCAGCCATCCACTCACCAGCTCTGGGGAAGAATGGGAGGCAGTGAGGCTGTATTGCAAAGCTTCTGATCACATCACACCCTGGCTGACCTCTACTATCTTTGCTCTCTTTCTTCCCACTGCCACCCTAAAGTCCAACTTTGATCCCCACCATCGCTCCCAGCCAAGTTACGAACGCCCTTCCTACCTGCCCCCAGGACCTGGTCTCATGCTCCGCCAAAAATCCATCGGTGAGTCTCCTGCCAGAGGGCAGGGCTGGAATGTGGGGAGCGGGAGACTGCAGGGGAGGCTGTGAGGGGATGTTTTGGAGGGAGGGAGCTTATTACAGGGGATTAAGGAGTTAGTGCCTAACCTGTCAGGCTTCAAACCGGAAGGCTGGCAGTTCAAATCCACTAGACTCCTGAAGGAAGAAAGATGAGCAGTTTCTTCCAGTAAAGACTTGCAGCCTCAGAATCTCATCAGGAGGCTTACTGTGTGTCAGAACAGACTCAGTGGCAGTGGACTTGGTTGTGGAGGGGGGCTTAAGAAGCTCTGGTGGCTCACTGTTTAAAGTGCTCAACTGCTAACCAAAAGGTCGGTGTTTGAATCCACTCTGTGGGAGAACGGTGGGATAGTCTCCTCACGATAAAATGTGGAACCTCACAGAGGGTCCCTAGGAGTCAGAATGGGGTTCAGAGGGCTTAGAGAACCCTAGTGGTATCCACTTCCTAAACAACATGCCTCTGGAAACTCTTTGAACGTTGATTAAGTGTCAGGCCTTTTGCTCATAGGGTCGTGCTCGACTCAGAGGCAATCAACAACAACAACAACTGACATAGTGATTAAAGCACTCGTCTGTGAACTGAAAGATTGGCTATTCTGGGGTGGGGAGGAAGGGGGAGATGTGGCCAGTTGTTTTTCTGTAAAAATTTACAGCCTTGGAAAATCGGTGTGGCAGTTCCGGTCGGCTCTCTGGGATCGCTATGAGTCATAATTGACTAGACAGCACTGGGTTTGGTTTTTCTGTGACTTCAGTGTGGTTTTTGTGGCCACGTTCTTATTTGCTTCTAAATAGGAAGCCTGTGGTGTCGTGGGAAACACGACAGAGTCCTCAAGTTGTGAGACCAATCAGACCTCAGACGAAACAAACTCAGAGCTCATCCTGGTCCCTCCCTTTTCAACAAGGGTGCACCAAAAGAAGGTCCTTTCCCCTCCTCTAGGCCTTAAGCTTCCCATCTAGAAAATGGGGCCTCTGTCACCCTGTGGGGGGTCCTCACTGATGCACTGGTTAAGCACCAAATGGTCAGCTGTTCAAACTCACCAGCCACTCTGTAGGAGAAAGAGGTCCTCTCCTGTAAAGTTGTACAACCTTGGAAATCAAATCAAATCAAATGGCAATTCTGCTCTGTCCCTGCAGGGCCATTATATGTTGGCTATGACACCAAGTTTCTAATCACCCTCTACCTGGATGCATTGCATCCAAACCCTGACAAAGACCCTAGTTCCTTCTCTCTTTAGATCTGGTTCCATTCATTCATTCACTCATTCATTCATTCACCCCACCTCCCATAGAAAGACCCTGGATGATGCAAACAATTAAGGACTCAGCTCCTCATTGAAAGGTTAGCGGTTCAAGTCTATGCAAAGATGATGTGGAAGAATCTGTTATTGGTTGTTGTTGAGTTGCTGGTGAGCTGGTTCTTTCTCATCACAGCCTTATATACGTCATAGGTTCTTGTTAAGTGCCATCGAGTGGATTCCTGACTCATCGTGACCCTGTTTACAACCATCCCCACAGTCTCTGCCATGCACCAGCCCAGTGTAGCATCGCTGGGTCAGTCCTTCTCTCTGGGGGTCTTCCTCTCTTTTGCTAACCCACTACTTTCCCCAGCATGATGCCTTTTTCCAAAGACAGGCCCCTGCTGGTAACATGCCCGAAATATATGAGCTGAAGTCTGACCACCCCTTGTCTCTCAGGAGCACGCTGACTACATTTCCTCCAAGACAGATTTGCCTGTATTCTTTGTATATTCAACACGTGTCACCAGCACTAAAATTCAAAGGCATCAGTTCCTCAGTCATCTTTATTCATTATCCAGCTTTCACCGGCATATGAAGCAGTTGAAAATACATGGCTTAAGGGAGCTCTGGTGGCCTAATGGCAAGAAGCTGTGCCGCAATCCCAAAGGCACAGGGTTTGAATCCATCAGATGCTCCACTGGAGAAGGAGATGCTTCAGAAACTTTACCTCCAAGGAGCAGCCTGGTCTCACCCTCTCTAAAATGAACCTATTTGCTCTCCTGATACATTCAATATCCTTCTCCAGCACCACAGCTCAGAGGCCTCAATTCTCCTGCTGTCATCCCTAATCACGGTCCATCTTTCTGACACATAGCAAGTAATTGCAAAGACTACGACATGAATCAGGCACACCATAGTCTTAGTGCCAGTTGGATCCCATTCGACAGTACACAGAAGGAAGGAAGGAAGGAAGGA